ACAACTTTGACATGTATGAGTTTATTTAAAGCGTAAATATTAATATATGTGTTTCATGCCCTTACAATTTTCTTAAATGAAAATCGACCGATTAGATTAAACACACATGAATGAAAAAATGCCATTATATTCGATCAAGACGGTTCTTTGTGTTATAATATTTCTTGTGAATTTATACAATTTCCAGTACTCTAAATTAATATACAAATGACCTTTATTGTTCTTTAAAGTAATCCCTCCTGGAGAGAATACACTTTTGACAACGCTTGCGGAAACTGTGAAAAGTCATCTTTGGATATCGCCTTGAGTCTTGTCGTCACACGTTTTGAATGACCAAAGTGTTTATAAATCAAGTCTCTCTCATCGGCTCCTTATTAGTTTAGGAAACAAAAAGAAGTCTGTGAAAGCAAGATCGAGGGAGTAGGAAGAGTGATTCAAAATCGATAATGTAACGTTGACTCAAGAATTCCCGTACACGTTTTGAATCATTAAGAGTCCTCAACATAGAAATCGTAGAAGGTCGTGGAGTCCTAAGTCGTAGGAAACTGACCAATTCCAATCGAGTATTCTCCTTATATTTGATCGTGATTGGTTGGTTTCCTATGACTTAAGACTCCACGACCATCTACGACTTCTATGTAGAGGACCCTTAACTGTGTAACAAGCTAAGACTTAAGGCAATATTCAAAGACGACTTTTCATAGAGTTTCCGCGAGCTGTACGACGTTGTTAGAAACGTATTGTGTCTATAAAGAGGGATTACTGTAAAGGATAATAAAGGTCGTTTGTATATTAATTAAGCGGTGTTTATTTTCTCATATAACATTCACCGAACTTTATCGCCACATCGCACGCGTGTATTCGCAGCTCGAATCGCGCTGGTGTGTCCAAGTTATTTCCTGGAAAACTGGTCGCGGCGGGTTCAATGTATGATGCTATGTATTTTCATGCTACTCGTATTACGTGTAACATGTAGACGTATTATAGTGTAACGCATAGACTCGATATCCCGACGAGAATTTTTGTGCGCGCGTGACTTCTAATAATAAACGGTCAGAAGCAGAGGGTTCAATTACATAAAGCTCGCCGTGCATCTGCCTGTAATTATCGCGATACCATCTCCGCTCTGTGGCACCCACGCGAATGCATTGCCCGCTTCATGCGAGCAAATTGATGCTTTCGAAACGCGTTCGGCGTAAACGTGGAAAACCTGTCTACTATCTCGGCCAATGTAATCGCGTCGCGATTTCTGCCGCGAACAAAGACGAGATATACTAGGCGTAACAAATATGCAGCGCGCCAGATTGAGGTCATTAGTCATGAAATCAGAATAGAGATATCGCTGCTGCGAGTGCACGTGCACCAGCAACAACAGACGATGACGTTTCCTGGGATCAGTGGCGGAAACGTGCACTAGATGATAAGAGAGGGAGGAGATCGCAGCATGAACTTTGATCTCCCCGCGTTCGTAATCGTCTCGAGCTTTCTTAACTCACGGAAAAACAAGGAATTAATAACGTATGATTGGGAGCCTATTTATGAGTCATCGCGTTACATGCAATCACGCCATTACTTGCATTTCAGTATCGTTACATGGCGTTCGCCATGTTTCCAGAAATGCCCATTATTGAGTTCTTGAAAGAGACATACCTATACACAGAGAATAGTTTTTGATGCGTATAATTTTGATGGCACAAACAGAAAGATCACGAAAACTTCTTCTCTGAATCTATATTTTGTACTGTGACGATTCATGATCTAAGAGAAATATGTATATATATATATTTTTTTCTTTGTTAAACATTGTGGAATATTTTAATTTGTTTAGTTGTTTAATATTTTAATATTTTAATTTGTTTAATTGTTTTATCTCTTAACTGCAACGTTTTGCAAACATTATAAATTTTGAAAAAATTATGTACTTTTTTTACAAAGTACTTTCGTCATTATTTAATCGATGACGCATCTTTATTATTGTTATTATTACAATGAGTCCTTTCACTTGACACGTATTAGCATTAAAGGATATTGAGACACAATTAAATATGTACGGTATTGTCATAACACAGAAATATTGATTATCTTGACAAGTACGTTTGTCATTCTTATCAAGAAGCACCTGAGGCTCTTAACGTATGTCCGATATTCGCGCAAGATAGCTTTATTGGCTCGCTCGAAGGATCCTTGAGCTAATACCTATTCGTGAATAAAAAGAATTGTCGGATAATTTACGGAGATCCTCTTAACAAGCAACACAGGAAATCGACTGAAACTGCAATGTTTTTTCATCTGCGACGTGCACATTTCTCATTTCCTTTTAGGTCATTTTTTTTCTTATCATGAAAATTATATTTTCCTGATATAAAAATTAGGAACAAGAAGTTATATAAAAGATTATTGCAATTTTGCAGAAAAACTGTAGTAAGAAAGATCGCGAAGTGAAATCCAGATGATACAAATAGCTTTGTAAAAATATGTATAATGTCACTCCTATCATTCGAGTAGATTACAGTTTCACAGCTTTATCTCCCCCGAGCAGGAAAGTTTGTTAATGCAGATTTGTCATCAAATTTGAACCGTGGAACGTTATTCTTAAACAACAGGTGCAAAGTTCGCCAGAAATCTAAAATACAGAATATTCTGCATAATGGAGAACGATATAAAAATCACGTATCCAAAGATCAATCTACGTCAATTAATCATTCGATACAATGCGAAGTTCGAATGTCCACGTATACAGTATCGAACAATAAAATCCCGGGATTACGCGAGCTGAACGAATAAGCCGTGCTCTGACAAGTCTTATATTTTCCTTCTATACCAGAACAATCTACTTCTTACTTCCTGGAAATATCATTAGCGATTTTCGCCGCTGGCGTTAATTCCTATCTATGTTTCATGTTTCACGAGAAAAAGAAATCATTATAAAATCCCAAGTGTTCTCCACATTTTCTAGTTCTTTGGTCTGCTAGAGTAGACTTATTAGAGCCTAGTGGGTTTTTCTTGACAAAATTATTCAAATCACGACGATCCTGAAACTATAAAGAGAAAACGATCCCTGTAAATTAATTCAAACGTCCGGAATAGAATGAATGGAAAATGGGAAATCCACTAAATCCTATTACACATCCTGTCACATTACATATTCTGCATTTCCTTGCGAAGATCATTGTTTAGTTGCTCACGATGCTTTCGAAATGTTCGCTAAACTGAATATACGAACAATGGAGCCCTAATTATTAATAAAAGGACGTTATCTACGTATTCTAATGTAATGAACAACGTAATGAATCACGACATGGCAAGATGACACTTGTGTCAGAATCCGAATCCAAACTTTGATCGTCATTCACAAGTGCTGGTGTCCGTCGAATGAACTTTGGCACTTAGCCTGCATATCTTTCTCCTGCGAACGGGTTGTATTTCTTTATCTCACTTGCGAATACCAAGCAAACATCTTCAAGTATGAACGTACTTACGCCAGTGCAACTGTACTTAATAAATACCACCAGCGGATTCAGTGCTGGAGTATCGACCTACGGCATGTGGTAGCTCATTTTCCTTTCTCCTTCATTCCTTCCTTTCCTCCTCGCTCGCACGAGGAATTGCAGTTCCCTCTCCCATGTTCTATCATCATTTCACTCGATTCGCCTGCGCTCTTCGTCATACTTTCCTAGAGTATTCCGTCGTGCTACCTCTAACGTCGATATTCGCGTAACCGTGCATAGGAATATCGCCAGTATGGCACGACCTCGCTTTGTTGTACATGCGCGATGATCAACGATGTACAACGAGAAAGAGGCACCCTCTCCAAATGTCTTTAAAGAGCAAGAAGAAATTTCTTATGTGACACGACAAATCGTCGAATGGTGATTACTCGCTGCCCTTGTATCTCATTTTTTTATTTTAATAAATCCAGTGATACATTGGGCATTGTAATCTTTTTTTTTGTTACTTAAACACTTTATATTTGATGGAATTAATTTTTGGTTGCTTATATCTTCAACAATTAAGACGATTATTACTTTTCTTACGCAGAGGATAGTTATGTGAGCAAACGATAGATAATTTGCTTAAACTCGCGTGTGTCATTATTTTGAATCATTCTAATTACCAGGAAATGTGTTAGAAATAACTTTACAGGCACGTTTTCTCTTATAAAAAGAAATTCGTAGAAGCAACACTGTGCACGTAATTAACGTGTATCGAAACTAGCATTTATTATAATGCAAGCTGATATATTGGATCCATGATTAAACAAGCAACGAAGACTTTTGAAACTGGCAACAGTAAATTTAATTGCTTTAACACACACGCAGTCAAGTTACGATAACGTAGCCGCTAGAATTAAATTAATTGTTAGCGACAAAGTTTCACCGTACCGAAATTCAATATTTATCAAGAATGTTTTAACACCAGAGACAGGACAAGGACTATCTTTGACTTTAACGCATGGTATCGATAAGTAAGACATAAAGTCTATTAAAGCGGAATAAATATTCTCGAGATCGAATAAAAAACCTGGAGGACGACAAAAAAAACTTAAAAATTTGTTTCTCTGAAAAAAGATAATCTGCGTAAAACATCGGCAAACTGCATATTAAAAGGTATATATGAATCAGAAAATGCTTTTTTTTTATAAGTTTAGTTGCGAGATTAGAGAACAAAATTAGATCGCTCGATTAAAGTTCAATACTTTTTATGCTTCATGTGACTTATGATTTTTCTCATTCGTGTACCACTCTTCCGTGACTTTTTTATGCAAACTCACGAAATTTTTAAGAGTAAGAGAGAGAAAAAATCTAAGCCTGCTATTGACATTAGGAACGATTGAACGAATGAGTTTTCTCGTTCGCGCGGCCTCGTTGTCACAACCGACGACAAAGAAGTGAGAAAGCTAAGGGTACCGTCACTGAGTCCGTCCCTGGACCCTGCCGCTCTCGAGCTCGGCTCACTTCGTCGTAGGTGGAAGTGGTGTCGAGCACAGCTCGACAGCTGATCGCAGTGGTGAGGTCGTGGAGAGATCGGCTCTCTCTCTGCGTCCAGTTGCATTGAGTTGCAGTGCGCGTCGTGGATCCGGTGCGTTTACTCCAATCCTGCCTGATTAGTCATCAGCAGGGGATCACCTGCGTGCATGCAACGCGTTCGCGATCGATTGCTTCTCAACGGTAGTCCGAAGAATGCCCCGTAACGAATGCGGTGTGAAGGATGCAACGGTGACGGTGAGTCAGTAATCAGACAACCCGAGAGAGTCGATATTCGAGGTGGAAACTTGGTACCGTGGCGTACCGTTGACCAAGTGCGAGGACCAGAGTGGTGATCAGTGTGGTCCTTCGTTCCTGGAACACTTCCGCTCCGCAACCCGCCCAAGAGGACGAGGTGCTCGACAAGTCGAAGATGCGAAGTGTCGTCGCCGTAGTATGACGTCGCGGCGGTAGCTGGAACCTACTTCTGTCTGAGGGTAAGTTGTCCTGTTAGCAGTGTTAGCGTCGATTAACGTGCGCGTGGGACGGATATGTAACTATCTCGATGACTCTTCAACCACCCTTGCAGCTGTGCGTCATGAACACCGCGGGATCTGCCCCGCATTCGCTAGGCGGTAATCAATTGCGGGGTAGAGGGAGAAATTAATTTATATTCCCGAGTTTTGCGGTTTTTCCGCTTTATTACTGATGCTTCGATCAATTAATTAGAGGTACGCGAAGTGATATAAATATATCATGCCTCTGTAAAATCAAACTCCGCATAATGATGTTAATTACGCACCGATCATGTAGTAACGCACTCTTTACCCGGTCATCGACTCATTACTTTCCAGCCTTTATCGACAGACGGATATCTTCTCCCCTTTGAAAATGTCAACCTTTGTTCTGCGATCTCTATCTTTTAATTACTGATTTGGTCAAATCGGAGGAGAATCTATAATTTATCAATTATTTTTTATATAGATGACTATATGAAGACAATCGTTTTCATGTTATTTGATAACGTAACCGCTTCACTTCTCTCTTATCTGTACGATACGTGTATTATTTGGAGCGAAAGAATCTAAAGGAAAGTGTTTTACGGCATTTATAGCTACTATCATACGGTTTTTGCTATATGGTTTTTATAATTTTAATTTAAAAGGTTTATCGACAGTCTATTAGGACGAAGTTTTCAACATTATTATCATGTCACTTAGAGTGGAGAACAAGAGATTCCTCTAACTGAACAATAACGACAAGTTCAAAGGTTTCTGCAACTAGAAACAAGATCGTCATGCGGGTCGCTTAATAAATGACTTGAGACCAACATCAATAAGATAAACGTATTGTGATAAGCGAATTGTATCGAACACGTGTCGCATATGAATACGACATCACATTTAACGAGGAGAATTTGCGTATATCAATGCGATCGATTGTACTTTCGTTCGAAGGATTGTTATCCATAGCTGGACAATATTCACACATGTATTATACTTTTTCGCAGAATTTTGCCCGTTTTCTATTATTTAAAAAAAGAATCAAGAAACAGTTCAATAAAGCATAACTACACGGTGAAAAAACGATTTTGCTGGAATTTCTGAAAATTTAACTGGATATATTAGGTTGTTCAGAAAATTTCGCGATATTTTTTGTTAGCTCAAAATTGTACATACAATAGCTTCGTAAAAAATGAACGAAATTTAAATTTAAAAAAGAGTTTTAAAGCTTGAAATCTCTACTTTCAAAAAAAGTTACTATAATTTTTGAGTTTATGTAAGTTTGGTAATTTTTACATATAAAAAATTATATGAGCTGAAAAAAGGGAAATTTTTCTTTTCGTTTTGTGAGTTTGTCATATGCCAAAAACATTGCAAAAATTTTCAACTATCTGTCGTGGAAACTTGGGGTTTTCCCTACAAAATCGTTTTAAAAATGTCCCTACGATTTTTTGTTCTTGAGTTATTCGCAAGGTAAAAGCATTCTCTAACTTTGATTGTTCATAATTCCGTCAAAAATCATCGTATTGCAGTTAAAAAAAAACAGATTCTTAAAGCTAAAACATTGCCCTTTTGAGTGATACAATTGCTAATTTTTTAAAAATAGAATATACATATATCAGTATATATATAAAACGGAATATACATTTGAGCAAAAATATGATATTACTTTCCTTTTAACCATTGTGCAATAAATGATTATATATAAGGACAATAATGACACATTTTTAGTTTAAATTTATATATATATTTTATATTTAAAAAATCAGCAATTATTTAATTGCGATACGATGATTTTTAACGGAGTTATGAGCAATCAAAATTAAAATGCTTTTTTATTTAACTCGCATGTAACTCGATAACAAGAATCATAGGCACATTAAAAAAAATGAATTTTTAGGAAAAACTAAATTTTCACATCGGATAGTCGAAAACTTCACAACTAATATATTTTGTATATAATTTTGAGTCAATAAAATATTGCTGACCAATCTAATAAATCTGAAAATAATTAGGTTGAATCATCATATATTTTACGTTCAATCAAATTATTTTCAGATTAACATATATATTTTAGATTATATACATATTTTAGATTCAACCAAATTATTTTCAGATTTATTAATAGCTAAATTTTTAGTACTTATAAAATCGATCTTTCCATGTATATACAAATTTAGAAATATATACAATGAGTAAAAAATATCATATTCGGTTAAGGCGGTTCTTTATCTAATGACATTTCTTGCGAATTTATATAATTTTAAACAAACTGTACACCGATTATTTTTCGGTCTTGATTTTTACTTAATATTGTTTAGAAATATATATCGATCGATATATACAAAGAATTTGAATTACAATCGGTCTCATTTATTTGTACATTAATCGAGTACGTGTGTGTATCCTGTTAAATGATTAATTATAATCAATTAATTATACGAATAAAAAAGAGATTATTTTACAATTTTATTTATAGTTGCATAAATCGATATAGAATAAATGCGCTTTTTTAACACAACTAAATAAAAATTTTTTTTTTCATTTGGAGCATTGCCAGAATAAACTCATTAGTGCAATTGTCGCTGATTGTCACTGTAATTGATATCAGAAACGAGTTTCATATAAAATAAGCGCAGTCCTAATCAGAAATCCAAAACATGGACTTTATCTTAGCGTTGCATTCAGAGCTAAACAGAAATCCCTTTTCCGTACACTCCATAGCGGTTCCGAGGTACCTTATCAGACTTGCAGAATTGATTCTGTTGTGAACAGAGCGCTTAATTAACGAGAGCTTGGAGCGACCGAGCCACTATTGCCTCTGAGGCTGATCGGGACGTTTAGTTGTTCAAACAAAGAAGGTCGCCTGGCGGCCAGCCGATTCTGGAACGTCGTCCCGGAATAATAAAACCGAGCGATGTCATCTGGATCGGCGCCTAGCTGCGGGTTGCTGACACAAGCGAATGTGGCAACGGCGGAAACGGCGGTAGGTACGCCGTTGCCGTCATGTGCAATATGCAATTGAGCGCATCGTGTATCACAAACATGCGACCGGCGTAATTCCTGACACGTGCATGCCCTGCAAAAACAGAGAGAGCGCCGTAGCGATGGTTCCCAACGGCCGGAGCAACCGCGAGCTGATCTTCGATTTTCAAGATTCTGACGCGAGAGACGCGCGGAAGTAGCATCAGCAGGGTACTGTGTACATAAGCGAGAGATATGCCTTGAATTAGGTATAACACAGCGTGCGAACAGTGCCGAGTTAATCCTCTTTAGAACTATCGATGCTTGAAGATGCTTGAAACTGAAATCGCTCTCTTCTCACGTTTCTCTCTTTTCTATTTTTGTCACTAATGAATAAATATTTTATTATGTATTTTTTAATTATTTACTTTTTTGTGTATTACTTTATATATATATATGTATATATATTTTATGAATAAGCCGGTTCTCTTCTTCTCTTGTTTTTTTTTTAGTCGGCGACAATGCTCCGTTTCTACGCGAGACAGATAATCTATTCTTATCTTAAGAAAGACAGAATTCAAGTTCGCAATGTGAAAGTTATCTTTTTTCGAAGGAAAAAGAACATCACAGTAGCAATTAACAGTAAGATTGCATTTGCCAATTTCCTGAAAAGAGCGTAAACTCTATCAGGAAATTTTATGTTTATAAAACATAATGACGCAAGTACCGATTGCACTTTCTTGTGTGTCGCTGGATTTCTTCGTTCTACATCTATAGTGCATAATCAATTGAATAAAGCATGTTAGTCGTATGAACGCGGATTTACCACCCATCGTATACACCCCCTTTTTCAAGACTTGCTTAATTTTCATCCTTCAGGATAAGATTCCACTCTAAAAAATTTAAAGGGTATATACATACGAGTACAACGTGGTAAATCCGCATTTATACGACCAACATGCTTTATTCAAAAAGAGTGGCTCAATTTATAATCTTTAAAGGGATTCTACATCTATCTGTATTACCGATTCAGTAGGACTTTTACATACATACAATTTACATGTCATTAACACACCACTACAAGCTACTACATCGCACGCATACATACAAATACGTACGAACACATAAGTAGAAATTTTCTTACCAACTAATCTTCTCTATCCAACAAGGAGAGAGGCTATACGCTCTGCTCTTCACCGATTTTGACCAAACTTGCAGCAATGTTAGAGGAGCCTACCAAATGAACACCTGTAAAGCCGTTCCCGCTAATGGGGCTTAGAAACCGAGTAAAAAATGAGCATTTAAAAATATACCAAAAAATCTGAAAACAATCTAATATCTCGGAAAGTATGCATTTTTGAGAAAAATGTCTTAAACACAAATGGTAGGGCTTAATAAGATGTATTTACTGGTTTTATTGGTTTGATCTTGGGTGACATCGCTAAGGTCAAGTCAAGGTTGATGAAAATGCATACTTTCCGAGATATTAGACTGTTTTTAGATTTTTTGCTATATTTTTAAATGCTCATTACTCGGTTTCTAAGCCCCATTAGCGGGAACGGCTTTACAGGTGTTCATTTGGTAGGCTCCTCTAACATTGCTGCAAGTTTGATCAAAATCGGTGAAGAGCAGAGTGTAGCCTCTCCTTGTACCTAAAGCCTAATTCTAAGAATACAACATTTTTGGGTTCATGTCCCTAGTTAAAATCAAGATTGTTTTATATGTACCATATAAAGTATAAAACTTGTATATAAAATAAATATTGTTATGAGTCGACGTAGTCAAAAGCCGATAACAAAACTGTAATTTTCCAATTTTTTTTATTTTTGACATAAAGGCCGTGTTCATATTGTGTTACTGCCAGTTGTCAGTACAGTATAGTATACGTAACAGGAACTATAGATTTTCAGTCCTGGCAGTCAACTGGCAGTAATATACGAACATGGCCAAAGTTGATCGATACGGACTACATTATTGTTTATATTTAATTGTAAAGAAGGATTTTTAAATCTGTATATAAAGGCAATCCT